AAAAACAAAGATATATAGTATTGAAGAATATTGTTCAATTTTATTTTGTCTCTTTTCGTCTTAGTCGTATCCCCCAGCGTGCATATATACTAAACTTCTCTTTGAAGTTTTTGAAAAAACTAAATATGAAGATAGTAAATTATAAAGTTAAAGGCAAATTACCAGGAACCGTTACAACAGCATCCTTAATTGTCTTCCCAAGGAATGCTTCTGCTGTTTCTTTCATCTTTCCTAAAATCATAGCACTGATTTCCTCAGGGCTGAAGACTTTAGTCTCGCCATCCCTAATTTTGACTTGGATATAAGGCTTTCCGTCCTTGTTCACGATTTTGTAAGGAACAAGCTTCATATCCTTCTGAACTTCCTCGTCCTCGAACCTGGCACAAAATAATTTAAAACTTTAATCAGTATTTATTAATCAAATGCAGAATAAAAATACTTATATATATTGAGCAAAAAGAGCTTACTTTCTTCCAATGAGTCTTTTAGCATCAAAGATAGTCCTCTCAGGGTTGACAGCTGCCTGATTCTTTGCAGCCTCACCAATCAATCTTTCAGTGTCGGTGAATGCATAATGAGTCTTTTAACATCAAAGATAATCCTCTCAGGGTTGACGGCTGCCTGGTTCTTTGCAGCCTCACCAATCAATCTTTCAGTGTCGGTGAATGCAACCCATGATGGGGTAATTCGGTTTCCTTGGTCATTAGCTATGATTTTGACATGTCCATTCTTATAAACACCAACACAGGAATAGGTTGTACCAAGGTCTATGCCAATAACTGTTCCCAATTTAGTGGCTTCCTCTTTGGCGATAGAAATTGCTGGTAGACAGACTGTTAGACAAGACAAGGTTAGTCGACATTATTAAGCATTTAGCAAACTAATAATAATTGAAACACAGAAGCCAAAAGCAATTAGACATGAGAAGAACATGTCAGGAAGCAGTAGAGTTCCTGAAATAATAATTAGTTGATGATTACTGTAGATATTTACTCATCTGGGCCACGGTTCATTCCATCTATTTAAGTTTGTTCAGAGGCAAGCACTCGTGTAATTGCAGCAACAGTTATTAGAATTGACCCATCCTGAACCACCCTAATGGACCCGAAATGTGATGTGCGCTGATGATGGATGCAAGCTAGGCATCGGTCCCACCACCAAAGCTGATTTTCATCTTCTTTGACCATAATGAGTGGGTTATAACAATGCCACTGTTTAGTGGTGATTAAAATCTGATTTTTAGTAGATTTTGATAAAATTTGATGAAATATTTGATTGAAAAATTGTGGACCCCATTAAACATGTGGTGAAAATTAATTGTTGACTTTAACTTGAATTAAAATTTAGATTTTAATTCCTATTTCAGTTTCAGGAAAGATACATTTAGGAAGTAGAAGCCTTTACAAAAAACAACTTGCTGGGAAGTCCGTACTTCTACGATATATAAACAAGCAAAGAATATTTTCCAGGAAACAAAATGTTTAGGGGCTGTTCTCTTTGTGTTTCAATTTTGTGTTTTGTGTTTTGAGTGTCCATTTTGAGATTGTTGAAAATGTGTTCTTTTTGCCATTTTGGAAAATTGTTTTGAAAAACTCAAAATTGAAAACGTGTTCTCATCC